TTTTGGATGATCTTCAGTAGAATCTTGCTTGCATGTGAAATCAATGACACTGTTCTGTAGTTTCCACACTCAGTTGGGTCACCTTTCTTTGGACTGGGAACAAATATCGATTTCTTCCAGTCAGTTGGCCAATAGACAAGAAATTATATTGCTAAGCCATACTTTCCAAAATATTGCAGATAGAATATAGCTTAGTTGTAAGGTCATAAACATAAAATCACAATACAACATATAAATTTGGTAATAGCAAATAATAATTTCTTATTAATTTCTCTTTTCCTTTTTAGCAACATATTCATGAAAACAAAAGTTTGCCAAGTTACCACTGTCAACTACAATTATTAATTATTTATGTCAAGACTCCAGAATTTTCACCAACTAAAACACAGAAAAGGGCAATGCTCTTCAAATGTAACACTACGGATTTCCACTAAAGTATACCTCCATTTCAGATCAAAATGTTTCATACTGAGATCAGTCATAAATAATCAAGAAGAGTTGCTCCTGTACTACATTCATATGGGCATATAGTTGATTCCTTATAACTTATCCAGGATCTTAAAGACTAAGATAATGCTTTATAACTTGGCAAGTCTTAATGAAAAAAGAAAGAACAATATAAAACAATGTACTTTGTAGGACAGGTTATAAGATGGTATTTTAACATAATGATACCAGTTAGGAGAAACCTCTTTCCATTTACAAATAACATAGGAACAATAGATTTCTATAAAAGCTTATTAATCTTACGGGAAGACAATCTGCTGGGCAGAGGGGATAGTCTTATCCAAAATGCAGAGAAAGATATAATCATCTTCAATGATATAACTATTACAAGCTGAGAAAAAGGACGATCAAAAATAGAAGTCTGAAAGATAAAAAATAAAAATATAAAGAATTTAAAAGCTATAAATGAAAACGCCAAACACTGGGGAGGGGGGAATCAAACTAGCATAAAGTTCTCCCCAAATTAGAGAAAACTGAAAAAGCAAAAAGGATGATCAGAGACACTTAAGACAGAGTCCAAAATGAGAAGTAATCAATAGATTATTTTTCCAGAAGAAAACAACAAATGAAAAAGTATACTGATAATCAAAGATAAGAGTTGAAGCTCCCAAACTGAGTAAGAAACTTGGTCTATGCTCTGAACAAGAGTTATAATAATTATTTAAAATACAAAGACCACCTCTGAGATATATTTCTGCTAAACACAAAATATAACACAGTGAAAAAGGTCTCTAAAAATAGACATGTTTCTTTAAAGAAATAAAGCTCAAATGGCCCATTTTGGAGCTCTAGTGGCCCAGAGGGTAGGTAGTTGTCCTGTCAAATATTTCAAAGACACTTCCTGACTTCTAATATTTATGATTAGATTATATGATGAAGAGGGAGTGCTGGAGGCTTAGTGGTGAGGAACTGTGCTGCAAACTCAAAAACATGCAGCTTAAATACAGCATTTACTCTGCAGAGTATGGGCTGTCTCCTACTGTGCCATTTATATAGCCTCTGAAAACCTGCTGTAGTGTCAACTATGAGTAAGCTCTGACTTGACGGCTATGATGTCAAGGGTATGTTGTTCAAAATGACTTTCTCAGCCATTAACTTTGAAATATGGATAGGGAAGGTTAGTCTATCCACAAAGGGACTGGCTAGTCTCACCATTAAATTCAGCAGCAGAAACAGTAACAAGGAAGAGAAAACAGCATGCATTCTTTGGGGTCAGAGATTATGATCTACAGAAGAGCTCCAAGTTGAAGAGCCTTCTCCTCCTTATAAAGCCCTGGCTCCCAAATGATCTGTTAGTCATACAGACTGAAAAGTTATGAAGACAGGATGCATCCCTAACACACTCCTTTTGAACAATGCAATGTTTCCTTCCTCTGCTCTGAGGACTATTCCTTGGTCCAAGTATAGGTTTAGCATGAGCACAATCAAGTGTTGTGGGATTCTTATTCTTCTCAACGCTAGGCACTATTGTTGTGATCCATACAGACAAATGCCTTTAGGTAGTCAATGAAACATTGATATACATGCTCCTACTCTTAGCTTTCAGCCAATATCCATCTGACGTTGTATCAAAAGGAACTGGCAGACACAGAAGAATTTCATGAGCTGCTCTGAAGGAAATAGCAAAAAATAAGGCCCTAGGAATAGATGGTATACCAATTGACAGATTTCAGCTAACAGATGGTGCCCTGGATGTGCTCACCAAGTTGTACCTAGAAATCTGGAGAACAACCACTTGGCCAACTGACTGGAAGAGATCTATCTATATTTGTTCCCATTCCAAAGAAGGGTGATCCAACAGAGTGTGGAAACAATTAAGTATTTAGATTTTTACCATATCTATCAAATAAAAAATACTGCACATTTTTCTCCCAAGGAGTCCCAGGTAGAGTCAAACTGACATAGAGAAGTGGCCTTTGGGTTACAGTGCAACTCCGT